CCGACGAGCGCCCACACTACAGAAGCCGGGAAGACAGCCCGCGGCTGGATCAAGGAACAGGTAAGATAAAAAAAAAAAACTCTGCGGAAGTAAGAGCGGGTACCTGTCAAATTCAGGTACCCGCTCCCCCTCCCTCCCCAAAGGTCAGCAGTCATCCCTGTGCTGTGTCCCCAGTCTCTGGTCATCCCTGTGCTGTGTCCCCAGTCTCTGGTCATCCCTGTGCTGTGTCCCCAGTCTCTGGTCATCCGTGTGCTGTGTCCCCAGTCTCTGGTCATCCCTGTGCTGTGTCCCCAGTCTCTGGTCATCCCTGTGCTGTGTCCCCAGTCTCTGGTCATCCCTGTGCTGTGTCCCCAGTCTCTGGTCATCCCTGTGCTGTGTCCGCAGTCTCTGGTCATCCCTGTGCTGTGTCCGCAGTCTCTGGTCATCCCTGTGCTGTGTCCGCAGTCTCTGGTCATCCCTGTGCTGTGTCCGCAGTCTCTGGTCATCCCTGTACTGTGTCCGCAGTCTCTGGTCATCCCTGTACTGTGTGTCCATCCCTGTACAGTCTCTGGTCATCCCTGTACTGTGTCCGCAGTCTCTGGTCATCCCTGTACTGTGTCCGCAGTCTCTGGTCATCCCTGTACTGTGTCCGCAGTCTCTGGTCATCCCTGTACTGTGTCCGCAGTCTCTGGTCATCCCTGTACTGTGTCCGCAGTCTCTGGTCATCCCTGTACTGTGTCCGCAGTCTCTGGTCATCCCTGTACTGTGTCCGCAGTCTCTGGTCATCCCTGTACTGTGTCCGCAGTCTCTGGTCATCCCTGTACTGTGTCCGCAGTCTCTGGTCATCCCTGTACTGTGTCCGCAGTCTCTGGTCATCCCTGTACTGTGTCCGCAGTCTCTGGTCATCCCTGTACTGTGTCCGCAGTCTCTGGTCATCCCTGTACTGTGTCCGCAGTCTCTGGTCATCCCTGTACTGTGTCCGCAGTCTCTGGTCATCCCTGTACTGTGTCCGCAGTCTCTGGCTGTACTGTGTCCGCAGTCTCTGGTCATCCCTGTACTGTGTCCGCAGTCTCTGGTCATCCCTGTACTGTGTCCGCAGTCTCTGGTCATCCCTGTACTGTGTCCGCAGTCTCTGGTCATCCCTGTACTGTGTCCGCAGTCTCTGGTCATCCCTGTACTGTGTCCGCAGTCTCTGGTCATCCCTGTACTGTGTCCGCAGTCTCTGGTCATCCCTGTACTGTGTCCGCAGTCTCTGGTCATCCCTGTACTGTGTCCGCAGTCTCTGGTCATCCCTGTACTGTTAATTAGTTTGCACTACTGTACGAGTTGTTTTTTCTAAACCAAAAGCTCGATATTCAGGTTTCATTGCAGTGTTGGCACTTTGAAAGAAATAAGTTGGTTTTGGGTTGCAGTTTGGGCACTCGGGCTCAAAAAGGTTCGCCATCACTGGTCTAGGCCATATTGTATAACAAAAGCCTGAATGCACAGCTCCTGCAACAGGCAGATATCCAAGTACCCCACAATGGGGATGCCACAAGAGAAGGGCTATAAATTTGGTGAGCACCCAAAAAGGTTCAGATGAGAGGCCAGAAGTTGGGATACTAAACTATTAGTTTAGTATCCCAACCACATAGCAAAACTTGGAGGTGTTGGAAAGATGGGAACATGCAGGTATGCATCCTTGATGTCCACAGAATCCACAAAGTCTCCCTGTTGAAGAGAAGCAGACACATACTGTATGTTGGATTCCATTAAGAATTTTTGGAATCAAATGAAGACAGACATTCAGAACAAAAGATCCAGGAAGGGCCAAATGCCCCCTTTAAAGTATGGAAATGGTGACAAAGTGAAAGGAAAAATCTCTGAAACCATTCTGCCACAGCAACTGGATAATGAAACCTTGACCTAGAAGACCTAGGAAGGCTGAATGGAAGTCCACTAATCTATAGAGTGACACAGAAAGATTGGAGGTGGGGCAGGGTACAACATAAAAAAAACACCCACACTTTGGTTTGTAGCCCTGGGACACCACCTCTTGCATCCAGAGATGTAGGCTATCCCATGTATGCCCCCCCCCCCCCCCCCCCCCCCCACTGTGAAAAATAGAGTCACACCTGTATGCCCTGTGGGTGGACCTGGAATATGGAAGAATTCAGCAGCCTATGCCTTAGGGATCTTCCGCTGAAGAGGATAGGTACTGTTAATAGCATTCTAGACAAACAGGGGTGGGGTTTACTAAAATCAGAGCATGCAAAATCTGGAGCAGCTCTGCATAGAAACCAAACAATTTCCATGTTTTATTGTCAAAGCTTAACAGAGCAAGCTGACCTTAGAAGTTGATTAGCTACCATGCACAGCTGCATCAGATTCCGAGAGCTCCAGTTTTAGTAAATTTCCCCCCACTGTGCCTAGAAATGACCTGAAGAGAAATTATACCTTGAAGAATATGCAGAACAAATGTTTCGGATACAAGCATTCTGCATATCAGCACCATAACCAGGGTGCCCACACATGTACCCTGACAAGAGAACCATCCAAAAGCAAAACCAGGATACTATTAGCAGACCACACAGCTGAAATAAAAATTCCAGTCATCCATACATTCTCCATGCTTCAGTGTAGTACATTTACAAGAGATGGCGTGCCATTCACTTAAAGAGTAAACCAATACGGAGAAAACAAAATTTACAGATGTGGGTGTAATAGCCGCAGAATGAAATTGGTCTGAACGATTCTTCTTTCAGAAAAGAAAGCATCCACACGGAATAAAAAATCTGCCAAGATATCCTGACCTGAACCAGTGAAATCCACCATATCTGCGACAGATTTAGCAGAGGAAATTGACAGCAATGTCCCATGACTCAGAGGTGGTTCTCAACTGAACCAGACCATAAGAAGCTGCCTTCATACAAGAGCTAAAAGAGTCCGGATGCAGTGTGCTGGCATAACCCAGAGCATCCCAACTTCTGCTCGCCAGACAAAGGCCAAACAAAACTACTTGTTGAGACCTGCAGTGGTCCCATGCTTTTTGAAGAAGTTAATCAGGTGTTACTTGCATGCATTTTGTCCTGAGTGTCCCCGAAACAACCTCCTTCCCAAATATGACATCAGAAAGACTGGATTCCCTGCTTGCATCTTTTCACTGGTGCAGTTAAAGGACTGCAAAAATAATTGTCATGGCCTGCAACTAAATATGCAATTTAGAAATCCCATAAAGGTTTGGGTTTCTTTTTCCACCCAGGGCACATGCTGCTGATGTATACCGGAGAGAACTGCACCATGTCTGTGTATGAGAGCTATGCTTTACATCCACCATCCATCCATTAGTGCTAGATCAGCAATACTGCAAATCAGGAGCAGCTGGAGTGATCAACGGTGCCAGAAAACTGAAACTGAAGGAAGGAACTAGGAAGCAGTATGTGCGTGCATGCGATATTACACACCTCCTTCGATTTTGGGCTTGCATCACATCAAGTGCAGCTCGCAAAAGGAGGTGTGGGAAAATAATAACATTTCTCTGTGTAATGATAGCTGAAAATAAAGAGGACGACTCCCCCATGTGGCCAACTCGCATGCACAAAGTAAAAGGCAAATGCTTCTGTTGAAAAGAAAAAAAAAAAAAAAAAAAAAAAAAAAAAAAAAAAAAATTTATAAAAGGCTGAGAAATGGTGCTAGTTTGAGTGCCATTACTCAGAGGCTGACAATACCCCACCCTCCACTCTGATGAAGGAGAACGGCTCTAAAACAGGTAATTGGAACCGAGGTACTTATTCACCAAGGTTAGAATCACTGTCTCCTTTCTTTGCACTGGCTTTGAATGATTTCGTAGTTTACTTCACTCAGGTTCTCCCAGTGTTCTCTGTAGAGTTTTCCACCTAGCTTGTTTTCTCTCCTACCGTTGGCCATTGTGTTATAGTATTTCATCATTAGTCCTGTGTGACCTGGGGTTCCTTTGGAAGATTTTCTTGTTGATATGCGCTGATCAAGCCACTTCTGTGTAAATGCAATTTTATGGATTACATTTTATTAAAGTAGTTGTATCTGCGCTATCAAGTCCACCCTATTTCTCCTTCTATTTGTGCTAAAAATACTGAAAAAAAATTAAACAAAAATTATTTTGTCTTATCTTGTCAAATTGTGCCCTGTGTGTTGGGTACATATGATTTCAAACTGCATACTTTGAATGATTCCTCCATCTTGTGGCCAGGATAAGCAATTTCTTAGTCAGCTGTTAAAATCCATGAGGGGGTGCGTCTTCATATCTTAAAAAGTGGAATTTTACCCATAATAACTTACTAAAACAAAAAAAAAAAAAAAAAAACAACGTTCTTTAGCAAGGAAGATACATTCTACATTAATGATGCTAGCAAAATTAGTGTGTGCTGTAAATTGCCTCTAGCACTGCTCCTATTTCTTCTTGCCGGAGGCTGCCATTTTACTGAAGCCTAGAGTCCTGAGCAGCAGTAAACTTTAGGCTGTCAGCAGATCAGCCTCTACAAAATTTGGCACAGTGTCTAAAAATAAAGAGCAACTGAGCATGTGCAGAGACCATGCATTCCTGGATTTTAAACTATACAGGCACTTATTTTTAATGTTTTACATAGCTATACCTGCAAAAAAGGGCAAGTCTAGCAGGGTTTAAAGTGGGATGCTACATTGCTGGAGCAGTAGTTCCACTTCTACTTTAACAACCAACATTCAAACTGGATTAGATCAACATGCTAAGTTTTTAAATTTGGATTGTTAGAGGCCAGCAAGAGGTTTATGCATCACATCAGATTTGTAATTTTGCAACAAAAATTTACAACTGATCCTTAAAAATTTCCAGTGACTGGAGTAGCTTTTTATATGCGTGTGAACTCTTTGTGCAGATACATCATTTGATAATGCTAAGGAAATAAAATTGCTGTAAATACTGCCAAAAATGCATGTAGATGCACCTGTGATGATAGGGCACACACCCCAGGCGATTATTCAATAAATTAACTGTACACAGCACTATCCATATCACCATCAGTCACCTGTACAGGGCCTCCTCCCAGCTCCTCATCCAGCTGAGCACTCAGGAATGCCGATGCGGTGATCTCATCCTTTGAAGAGTCCAGACCCTGCCTGCAACAGAAAATGCAAATATCAGTCAGTGCACAATTGACTGTAATTTTTTCAGGGACTGATGGCCACCGCCTAATTGATTTGGAATCTGCAATTTATCCAAGGTTCCTATACCGTATATAACAGTTCCTAACACTTCTAAATAAATAATACATTTAACAGTTTTGAATGAATTAAATCTAGAGAATTTTTTTTTTTTTGAATTTGATAAAAGTTGTGTTGGGGGGGAGGGGAGGTACATTTTTCAACACCTTCTGCCAAGTAATACCATTCAATAATGCTGAGAATAGCCATTCTAATGCCTCCTTTTTGTCCACCAAGGCAGCCAACACAAACAGTCTGTGCCGCATCTTATGGTTTGTAGATGGAGACCTTTTGAGCATTAAAAAAAAAAAAAAAAATGGTACTAGCATTCTTCCCCCCAACTTTGGTAGTGCAACCAGTGAAAAACAGAGAATGGTTTTGTAGAAAGTTTTAGGAAATTTTGTAAATAACTAAATGGCAACACACAAAATTCCTGCTCTCAGATACGAGACATTCAGAATATTAATTACCATGTGTAAATAATCTGTCCTTTCTTTCCACCATGGCTGTAACTGTACAAAATAATATAACTGTCTCCCCCATAGAACTGTCCGTAGTGAGAAGCAGACACTGGCACTTTTTCTGATGCTTCAATGCGCCAAATCTGAGAGGAAAAAAAACAAACAAAAAAAAAAACTTAAAAACACATTTTATTCTCACAATATATATCACAGCTGCATTCTCTTAACACAGCTGTATGATTCAGACTTTTCCCCATGAATGTAGAGTGTCAATAAACCCAAATCAACAAAAACCCATACATACTATATTACATAGTGTTCTTACTTGGTCATCCACTAGAGCATTTGTTTTCTGTAGACTGCAATAATCCTGGTTGATTGTGCTGTTAACTGTCCCTCCCTCCTTGTCCGCATCCCTGCTGTGGCCTGAGATTGTGCAGACCAGTTGTTGACTTCTGATCCCCAAATCTGCTGATAGTACAGAGCTCTAGGAGTCGCTCTGCACATGCGCAGTTTAGTGTGTATGGCTGATAGTTTTAATTTTTCTTTGGGAGTGTGCGTATAATCAGAACAGGGCCAATCAGAACTGTCCGGACAGAGGGTCAGGGGTACGCAGCCTCATAGGACAGTCAGAGCAGAATGCTTTTTCCCCCCACAAGCTTTAACCAGTGCTTAGATGGAGACTGATGGAAGTCACAAGACTGCTCTAATTGCTGATGAGAAATAGCAGTTTATATTTACTAAAATAATTACATTTCCATGTTGTGTGTACTGTGGGAGACCAGATATAGTGAATGTAGGGTCCTGGGTTTAGTAACACCAACTGCACCTAATAAACGTTTGCTTTGAAATATAGGTTTGTAATGAGCTTTAAAGTGTTACTAAACCCACAACAGTAAAATCAGTTTGTATGCTTGTTATAAATATAAATAAACAGCGCAAATTAGGATAATTAATCAATATAATAAATCATTAAAATAAGTGCATAAATTATTCGTGTTTCCCCTTAATAAACAAAAACACCCAAAAGTCCATGTGCTGAAGACATAATTAAATTGTAGAAGTAACAAAATAAATAAAAAATGAAAGTGCCAACTTCTTTTCTTCAAAAAATATTTTCACCTTCCACCAGTGCACACACCAACATTGAATACACTCACCAGAACTTGGTGAGTAAAAGACCTTTTAAGGAATTTTAGGGATCCTAAACCCTCTTTGGTGCCATGCTAGGGAAAATCTTCACCCTCCGAATAGACTCCACCATCCAACCAAAAGAAAAAAAAAAACTCACATAGCATAATATTGTCACACAATAGTAACTTATTCCAAATAGAGATTAAGGCCACTCACATGTTAATCACTTGCTAAAGGCATGTTTATTATGTATAACAAGCTTCAGTTCCAGCAGATATACAACCTTTTCCTTCCAGGACTCTCACATCCACAATGGAACAAGGACAAAACTCCTCTTAGACCAAACAGTGAACCAAGATGGCCGCTGGAACGCACCGCTCCGCGTGCGTTCCACTCACCGGAAATGACGTCAGGCGCAAAGAGTGTGGACCGGAAATGCGTCAACGCGCATTTCGCCCCTCCCATAGGGCGTTATCAAGAGTCTTGATAACGCCCTATGGGAGGGGCGAAACGCGTTGACGCATTTCCGGTCCACACTCTTTGCGCCTGACGTCATTTCCGGTGAGTGGAACGCACGCGGAGCGGTGCGTTCCAGCGGCCATCTTGGTTCACTGTTTGGTCTAAGAGGAGTTTTGTCCTTGTTCCATTGTGGATGTGAGAGTCCTGGAAGGAAAAGGTTGTATATCTGCTGGAACTGAAGCTTGTTATACATAATAAACATGCCTTTAGCAAGTGATTAACATGTGAGTGGCCTTAATCTCTATTTGGAATAAGTTACTATTGTGTGACAATATTATGCTATGTGAGTTTTTTTCTTTTGGTTGGATGGTGGAGTCTATTCGGAGGGTGAAGATTTTCCCTAGCGTGGCACCAAAGAGGGTTTAGGATCCCTAAAATTCCTTAAAGGTCTTTTACTCACCAAGTTCTGGTGAGTGTATTCAATGTTGGTGTGTGCACTGGTGGAAGGTGAAAATATTTTTTGAAGAAAAGAAGTTGGCACTTTCATTTTTTATTTATTTTGTTACTTCTACAATTTAATTATGTCTTCAGCACATGGACTTTTGGGTGTTTTTGTTTATTATTAAGGGGAAACACGAATAATTTATGCACTTATTTTAATGATTTATTATATTGATTAATTATCCTAATTTGCGCTGTTTATTTATATTTATATTGTTTGTGTTTTCACGATTGGCACAGCAGCATTTTTAGAGTGTTATTTGGAAAGTTTTGGCGCAGGAATAAGCTTTTTTGTTTAAACATTTTTGTATGCTTGTTATACTCACTGTGGAACCTAAGGAGGTTAATCCTCTGCATTGTGTAAAAACGCTGTTTGATCCTAACTTCTCTGATCCTCCCCTTCTTCCAGTGTCCCCCCTCTTATCTCCTGATAGGACACATCATGTGGAGTCACTCTAGCAATACACACCAAACTGAGCATGTGTAAAAGGGCTTTTTTTCTTTGGAGTGTGTATGATCAGCACAGGGCCAATTAGCACTGTCCAGACAGAGGTCAGGGGTTCTGCATCCTCTTAGAGGAGAATGAAAATTCCTCCAAGCTTTAACATGTGCTCAGCTACACACTGATAGAAGTCACAAAACTGCTCTAACTGGTGATGAGAAAAGGTATTTAGCAGTTTATATTTACTAAAATAATTGCATTTCCATGTTCTGTGTACTGTGGGAGACCAGATATAGTGAATGCAGGGTCAATGGGTTTAGTAACACTTTAAAATACTTTGTGCTATTTTAATTCTGAAAGCCTTTTTTTTTTATGTCACGTGACCAGCACGGTACCAATCAATGCTGGTCAGAACCCGACTCATATCAGCAGAGCACAAGAAACTTCTTCCTCAGAACTTTCTTTGAAGACATGAAAGACCTGGGAAACATCATTTGACCTCAGAATACGAATGATTAACCACTTGCCTAACGGGCACTTATGTCCCCTTAATGCCCAGGCCTATTTTCAGCTTTCAGCACTGTCGCACTTTGAATGACAATTGCGCGGTCATGCAACATTGTACCCATATAACATTATCAATTTTTTTTAACACAAATAGAGCTTTCTTTTGGTGGCATTTAATCGCCACTGAGTGTTTTATTTTTTGAGCTATAAAAAAAAAAAAAAAAAAGAAGTTTCTCTTTGTTTCAGGCAGCACTGTTAGGTGGCACGGATGCTGCTGCACTGATATGCAATTATGGGCACTATTAGGTGGGACCGACTGGCAACACTGCTGGGTGGCACTGATGGGGGAGCTTTGCTGGACACAGGTGGGCGCCACTGCTGGGCAGTGATCAGTCATACGACACCCTCCCAGGACTAGACAACAGCTCTATAGCTGTCATTCAGCTATAACGCGGTTGCCAAGTGGTTAAACATCATACACAGATGTGTATATCATATTATATACAGTGTGTAGGTATGAAATGTGTGCATTGGCAAGATTTGTTATATACACGCACCAGCCACTTTATTAGTTATACCTGTTCAATTTCTCGGTAACAAATTGCTAATCAGCCAATCACATGGCAGCAACTCAATGCATTTAGGCATGTAGACGTGGTGAAGATGACTTGCTGAAGTTCAAACCGAGCATCAGAATAGGGAAGAAAGGGGATTTAAGTGACCTTGAATGTGGCATGGTTGTTGGTGCCAGACGGGCTGCTCTGAATATTTTCAAAAACTGCTAATCTACTGAGATTTTCACATGCAACCATCTCTAGGGATTACAGAGAATGGTCCAAAAAAGAGAAAATATCCAGTGAGCGGCAGTTATGTGGATGAAAATGCCTTGGATGTCAGAGAAGAATGGACAGACTGGTTGCTGCAACATTCAGATGGTAGCGTCAGAATTTGGCGTAAACATGAAAGCATGGATCTATCTTGCTTTGTATCAACGTTTCAGGCTGGTGTTTGTGGGGTAATTAATGGTGTGGGGGACATTAAAACACTGCTACCACACAAAACAAAAATAGAAGGGATAATGGCAATTAAACATTATCTGTTTATTTAGTATCACTTTAAAGGGAACCACACAGAATCAGCCTGGGTTCACATTGATGTGGTGCGGAATCCACAGTGGTTCCTGTGCGAATTCCGCACCGCATCACAAAATCGCACCCCATTCATGTGAACTGCTGATGGTGTTAACACCCCGAAATTGGTTTGCAAAACATGGTGCAATGTGCAGAATCGGATCACATGGGTGTGAATACCCATGCGATCCAATTCTAGTGCGCACCAAAAAAAAAAAAAAAAGTGTCCTGCACGTTTTTTGATGCGGACACGGTGAGATTTGAGCCATACAAAATTCATATGTGATTTGCAAAGGAATGCGGTGCGATTCCTGTGCGAATCACATGCGATGTACCACACCGCACAAGTGTGAACCCAGGCTCACAGTCAAAAGGCTTGTCCTATTTGTCCCACAATATTAAAAATTGCCGGGTGAAGGGTTTGGAGACATCATTACGTTGCATGTGGCAATGTGTGATCTGATAAAATGCAATGCCTTTCTTTTTTTTTTCTTTTTATAAATCTGGTAGAGTTGTGCATGGTAGCCAGCTTCTAACTTCAGCTTGCTCAGTTAAGCTCTAATGAAAAAAACCTGGAAGCAGATTGGTTTCTTTGCAGAGCTGCACCAGATTTTCACCATGCAGTTTTAGGAAATAACCCCAGTGTGTCAGATCCGTTAACATGAAAACTTGCAATATTTCCTTGGTCTGGTTTGTGTTACGACTTCAGATTATTTTGTTACAATCTGCTGGCAAAAAGTGGAAATGCACTACATACAAATGAAATCTAAATGCAGATTCATTTTCCTGTAATCCTATTTAAAGTGAATGTGTGCTTTAGTTATAAAAAAGGCATAGCAACAGGTTCACTTTAATGCCAGCCTCACCAGCTGATCATACTTGCCCTACTTCTTCTCCCACTGCTTATTATTAACCCAATGAAGAGAAAGGAGAAAAAAAAAAAACTAAAATTTACTGAGGATTGGAGTCTCTCTCCCTCATACTTCAAAGTGTTAGGTATTTTTTTTTGTTCCCACCAGCTAAATACAGTAATGGGAAAATTAAGTGATGGGGGTGGGAAAAACACTTTTGAAGTTAACCTTTTTTTCTGTATGGACAAAGCACAGATTGTTTTAGTAATTTGATGTCACATCATTTGTCCCCACCACAGTCGCCTCATTTAGAGGTTTCAAGGACAGTCACAGCACCCACACTGCCCATGCAAATTCGCCATTTACTGTATATCCTATCCCTTGGTATGGGCAAACCATATAATCTACACATCAGCCTATGCTTTCTTTGTGGGTTTTCAGACACTAAGACAAATGCAGACCAGTGACAGTAATGTGTTAATTGTTGCAAAAACGATGACACAGATGAAGACAACCTCGTGCCAGCATTTTGTAGACTTTCACAATGCAGACAGAAAAGGTTGGTGGGAAGTTGTACTGTACTGCATCTGTTTGGTCATTTCTGCAATCCAAATTTGATAAAATAATGTGCGTACTGTTGTGTATTTGGCCAGCAAAACCAACGTACAAAGCTAACACTGATAAGACAGGGCTGTAAAGATGGCAGGTAGGACAAGCACTGAAATATGTGTCCTGCCCTCACCTGCTTCGCTCCAGAACCATCATCCACCATGCCGTGCTGTGCTGCCATAGCAGTTGATTCGTGCAAAGAGCTGACATCAAAGGGAACGTTCTCGATCTTGGCAATGTGGTTGGGGATGTAGGCAATGCCCATCCCTTCTGTGGTCTCCTTGTCCCGCCAATTCTTGAAAAATTGTTTGAAGAGCGGAGTCTCACCAAACTCAGGAAGAACTTGTACCTGCAGACAGAGAACAAGCTCTGATGAAATAAATGCAGCACATAACATCCTTCCAAGGTGGTCAGCATGCTACTGAATAATTCTAGGCAGCGGACTAAACTGTGTCTATCCTGCAGCACCACCTTATGGAAGTACTTTAGTGCTGTGACAAGAATCACCACAAATCGTATTCTATAGGATTTGATATAGTGGCAACAGTTTGAGAAAAGCTTTACAAAATAGGAAGACAACGCACTTACAGTACAATGCAAGAGGGTTGGGAGGGTCCTGCTCATGACAGCCTACTGTCACTTTAGCTACAAACATATTATTGGTCGTGTCCCAGAATCTACATGTTACCTGAACAATAAATACAGAGAACAAGCCGAAATGTTGGTTCTAGTAGCAGGTGCCCGACTTTTGCCGCTGTACATTCTATGAGCCGGAGACAGATGTGCCCCATTACCTGTGTCTGTTTGGGATATCCCATTTTGGAGATAAATTCTGTGGCAGTCTTCAAGGCCATCTTCCTCTCTTCCAAGTTGGCATTCTTACCTGACAACAAAATGAACAGAAACATGTCATGCAGGATGAGAAGAAGAGCTCTAGATATGGAGGACTGCTGATTATATATTGTACAAAATCAAAATGTGCCATTTTCTAAAAGGAAGGCATAGTTCAGGCCAATCCAGAGTTTAGACAATACTGAACAATCCAATCATCTGTCATGCACAGTCATAGCTCTAATTAAGTTAAATCCAGTACCTACAAAATCAAAGAACTATACCACATTTTAACTACACTAAAACCCCTATGTTAAAGCACCTTACTGGCCTAACAAATACAGAAGTGCAAAATTACAATCCCTGTGGGGAAAAGCAGTCCCCACAAAGGAAAGCAATCCCCAATTTTCACATCAATGAAGCAATACCTAATAACAATGACTTGCACACTACCACTCTATACTTGGACAATAAAAAAAATAACGGACCACTTGGTCTTTTTTCGGTCTTCACTCTTCTATGTTTCTAGCACTCCTGAAGATGTGGTAATACACCTATGGATTGAAGTCTACTTAAATTCTGTGGTTTATTCTTTTAGAGCAGGGTGCAGTTAAGACTTTCATCATATGGCATATATGGCAAACTGCTTTTGTACACGTGGTGGTGGGAGGGAGGCAGGAGGAGGGGAAGAAAGGATGGAGGAGGAGGAGGGGAAGAAAGGAGGAGGAGGAGGGGAAGAAAGGAGGAGAGGAGGGGGGGGAAGAAAGGAAGAGGAGGGGGGGGAAGAAAGGAAGAGGAGGGGGGGGAAGAAAGGAAGAGGAGGGGGGAAGAAAGGAAGAGGAGGGGGGGGGAAGAAAGGAAGAGGAGGGGGGGGGGAAGAAAGGAAGAGGAGGGGGGGGAAGAAAGGAAGAGGAGGGGGGGAAGAAAGGAAGAGGAGGGGGGGAAGAAAGGAGGAGGAGGAGGGGAAGAAAGGAAGAGGAGGGGAAGAAAGGAAGAGGAGGGGAAGAAAGGAAGGAGGATGTGTATGGTTTTAATCAAGTTTCTTGGATTGGTTTGTATGCAGCTTAATGTCAAGTACTTGTTATTTATATTATGTAGATTTGGCTTTTTACAGTTATGCTGTGAAAAGGTAAGTCAGCCCACCTGCTCAGACATTTCCTAATAGGCCTGGCATTATCTCAGCAGCCATTTAGAAGGCTAGTGAAAGTGTCTGACAAAACTTAAGGAGTTCTAGAACAATAGAACAGGATCAGTGTAAAAATCTGAGTTACTTCCACGCAAACCTTACAAAATAATTCAGAATCTGTGCTCAATGAATGCCCCCATCCTGACAGGATCCCTTCATATTACCCTAGCATATCACAGACTGAAAGAGGTGTGCCCTCAATTCAGCCTTAGAAAAAACCTCCAGCTAAGCAGGGTGTATTACGGTTCTGTAGTGTGGCAGTGACTGTGCATTACCATTCCTCTCTAGCAATGCATACCTGTTGGTCTGCTCAAAAGAACTGGAAACAAATAAAGCCACTATGCAGCTCTAGAAAAGCACTACAAACCTATGTATGAAGTATAAAAAAAGTAAAAACATTTTAAAATGTGAAAGGGATTTAAAAGAAATACAGATGACTTCTAGTTCAACTTTACAACACAAATGGTGTAGTTACTTCAAATACACTCATTTCCCTTTTAGATATGTAAATATGCCACGCAAAAGTGACCAGAGATCGCAAGTCCTTCAAGTTTCATTACTACAAAGTGAAATATGGCACCCCCCTCTGGCATCCCTCCCAGCACAGACCTTTCCAAACAAAGATCTTTCCATCAGATCCATGATCAAGGATGAAGCAATCATCAGAATTCAGAGCTGCCTGTGTAAATGGATTCTCATCTGCAACCAGAGACACGGACATGGCACCGCCGCTGTTCGAAACCTGTTAGCAAAAATAAATTAATCAAATGGAACTTCTGTAATATTTTAAACAAGTCAACTACATTGGTGTTTCACCATCTATACCAATGTTTCTTAAACCTTTTTCAGTTAAGGCACCCTTTAAAATTACGGATAATCTCAAGGCACCTGCTAAAATCCTGCATAATCTTAAGGCACCCCATTCTAAAATGTAAAAAAATCTATTTTACACACATCCACACACATAGTACACCCAACGTTGGAGGCGATTTATTCTTCCAGCGCAAATATACCTTTGCACACTGGTACTGACTAGTATTCCAGTGCGTCCAGTTCCTATTAGAGGAACTGAATTTATTCTCTTGAGAAGAGGAGATTAAGGCGGATATGATCAACATGTATAAGTGAACTCTGTGTAGAGCTATTCACCCTGAGGTCATCACAGAGGACAAGGGGGCACTCTTTACGTCTGGAGGAAAAGAAATTTCATCTCCAAACACGGAAAGGTTTCTTCACAGTGAGAGCTGTGAAAATATGGAATAGACTCCCTCAAGAGTTGGTTCTGGCCAGCTCAGTGGATTGCTTCAAAAAAAAAAAAAAAAAAAAAAAAAAAAAAAAATAAATATATATAATATATATATATATATATATATAATATATATATAACATTTATAGGTAAAGTTGAACCAGGGGATATCCAATTGCCTCTCATGTGATCAGGAAGGAATTGTTTTCCCTGCAGGAGCAAATTGGATCATGCTTTGCTGGGTTTTCTTTTCCTTTCTCTGGATCAACTGTGGGTATAGTATAACTTTTTTTTTTCTATGGTTGAACTTTTGTCTTTTTTCAGACAGACCAACTATGTCTCTCTGTTTCTCTCCCTCACTCTGCTAATGTGCTAAAAGAGATAGGCAGGGGAGGGACAAACAAGGAGGATGTGCATGCACCCAAAGTCCTCCTTATCAACTAATGAGGTATTGGTTGTTAGGATGCCAGCAGCTAGAAGGTCATAAAAGTACACAATGAAAACCTGTGGCTTTGCGTAACTAAAAGAAAGTATTTATCCACCTGCTGGCGTGTAAACAATTTTTAGGCATTTTGCCAAAGCACCCCAGTTGAAAAAGGCTGTTCTATACTACTGGTTTTAAGTTGGCTATACAATCTGTGTACTCTCCTTGAGATTTATCAAAATGGTGTATACGACGACACACCTAAACAATCCAATCATAAAATAAGGCAGGCCCTTGCACTACATAGTTCATGTATATATATCGTAGTAGAGTTTCTCAAACGGAGCCTGGAAAAGTCCTGTTCAGGGTTTACACATCTCCCAGGCTCCTCTCATACACTTTTAGAGACCTCTGATTATATCTGTCCAGTTTGGGTTTTGCTCCTCTATTTGTTGATGTCGTTGCTCTTGAGCCTGGGGAACAGACAAGTCGCCTCTTTGAGAGCTGTAAGGTTGGTGGAAGCTGTACAATTGTAAGTCAAAATTAGCAAGCATTAGGCTTGTTCAATCTACTAGTTAGGATGTGGCTTTTGTATTGTTTGTGCTGGGACATGGCTAGGATTTGGTTTTGGAGTTTTTGCTTTGTGGAACACTGTACAGCACTGGTAAACAGACTTAGAAATAGCACCAATAAACACTATACTGTTTGTCACTACTTCACTGGACTGATATCTGTGCCTGAAAGTGTGCTTATCCCTAGAAGCTTTGTATCCGCTACCTATCTCCAGCTCACAACACATACTGTATATACTGTAGTTCAGCACATGGCAAAAGTCCACAAAAATTGGTTGCTGCAGAAAAAAAAAAAAAAAAAAAGGGGGGAGGAGGGTCTCCAATGGGGCAGCTGATACCATAAAACCCAAACTCAGTAGAAGCTATTAAAATGAATGTCCAGCCAATTTTTTTTTTGTTAAGAAAGGACTTCAAGCTCTGTTTGTATTGCTATTAAAATGCCATTAGAGAGATTTCCTCTCACTTCTTGCCTAGCCAACAATTTTTTACCAGACATAAAGTATGGGGAAATCATCAACAGACCCCAAAAAATTGAAAAAAAATATTTTCTTTAGTGGAGTAGGAGAAGACTAGAACCCCTGTCAGATTTTTAATCTGTGTGTTAAAGGTTTCCCTCCCCTCCTGTCTGGTGAAACCATTTTTTGCGCAGTAAGGGAAGGGAGTGGAAATCTGATGGATCCCCAGATAGCAACAAAAACATGACAGGGTTCTAATCCTTCCCCACTCAAAAGCAACAATTTTTCTGGGGCTGCATCTCCACCCCCTTAAAAGGGCCAATATATAACATTAGAAAAATTAAATAAAATATGAAAATTATCACACAAAGTTAAACAAGCTAAAGAAAAATTACATCAGAAACTAGTAAGGATAACTATTTGAAAACAACATAAAAAAGGTGTGATAGTAATGTTATATGAGATTTAGGTCATGTTGATTTCAACTTATGTTATCCTCATGGATTACAGATGTCATGGTTCTTTGAACCTCAACTTTGAACTTTGTGTTATTTTCATATATATTTAATATGTTACAAATTAGCCCGGATGAAGGGGTGGATGCAGCCCCTGAAACGCATAGGCTTTGAAATTTTTTTTATCACTGGAATAAAGACTGTCACTGCGGATTTCCTTTCTGAGACTGCTGCTTGCCAGGGAATCAGGTGACAGTAGTCGGAGTCAACAATAGGAGTACATACAGCAGGTGAAGTCGGAACAAATTCACACTGCTATGCCATGAGATCTGCTCTCAGCCAGGCAACCAAATATATTCAGAAGAAAAAGTTCAGCAAGGCAGACCTCATTTTTCTCATCAAGCTGGTTTAATCTAGAGAAGTGTTTGCTGCAGCATGTGTTTCAGCAAGAATTGGGAGGGGATGGTTTCTGTTCTACCTTTTCAGAATTACCTTATAAAGTTTAGCAAGTTTCCTATTAGTGACATCGGCCTTCACATCATCAGACGGACCCTCTGGCAAGTCTGGCTTTTCTCCTAGAACCTGGAAAAGAGGAGAAAAAGATTCACTAATTGCTTTGAAAGGAATACCCAATACCAGCTGCTGGCAAACATGATACATTCCTGGGTGAACTGGAGGAACAATACAGCTTCACTTCATTGCTGTATCCCTACATATTGCAGAACTACAAGTCCTTGAAATGTGGTCAGATATGGATTACGTGCCCCCTGCTTTGTAACTGCTGCCATCTATGATTACAGACTCACAGGGGTTTATTTACTAAAGCTGGAGAGTGCAAAATCAGGCTCATTTCTGCATAGAAACCAATCAGCTTCCAGGTTTTAATACCAACACTTAATTGAACAATCTGAGGTTATAAAGATTGGTTTCTATGCAGAAGTGAGACACTTGACTGTCTGATTCTAAATGATGTTCATTTAAGCATCAGCTTCAATATATTGCAAATCATTTGCCATATCCTCAGTTGACAGCAAAGGACTCGCTTCACGAATATCCAGAGACATCCTTCTGTCCAGTGCACTGGGTGCAATTCTCACTTCTCTTGTTCCGTATGCTGTGAAGTTCTAAGTATCTGTTTTTATTGTGTATGTATGGAACTACACAGTAGCACAAACCCCATTCTGTAAACTTAGCATAATCCTTAAAGTGGAATTCCAGCTTAACCCTAACTACTCTTAAAGTGCCCCCTAATACCTAAGCAAGAAAGAGTTATATACCCATTTTCAGGTCACTCTGGTCTGGTCACACGATCCCTCACCCTTGTGTCCGCTAACAGGGTTGCAGGGGAGAGGAGAGAGAGCCAAAAACCGATGGGACATTGGAGACTATGGGTGACATCACCACTCTTTTATAGGGGTGCGCTCTATCCTACAGCCGGCGCTGGCTGACATGGGGGAGATCACAGGACTTGACTGGTGTGGTCTGCAAATAGGTAAACTATATGCATCTTTCTTACATAGGTTAGTAAGCATGGATGTTGTGGGGGTTGGGTTGGCATTTGTAAATGCGGTTAGGATCAAGCTGGAATTCCACTAACATCTCTTCTTCTTCTGTATCTATGAACTCTGCACAGTAGCACTAATCTTGTTCTGTACTCTGGGTGTAATTCTGTCTGTACCATATCCAAGAAACAAAAAAAAATTGCTCTTATTGTAGAGAGGCTTGACAAACGTCAGAGAAGCCAGGCCACATTAAAGTGTAATTAGTTTCAGAGGGATGCACAAACCAGGAAATTATTGGTTAATATACGAAGTTTGTTCAAGGTTCATTTAACAGTTTGTATTGCTCGCAACCACCTTTTCCCACTCAGTCATGCACTAGACTAGAGAATCAAAAATCAATAAGATTTCAGAACAGCAGCTTATCAGTCAGTGGATGGGAGATTACAGAGCAGCTGCCAGCAGAGATGTGAAGAGGGAAACACAGGCCTCTGTTTTCTCTAACCAGCACAACTCACTTCTGACTGCATTCAAGATAAAAGTCTGCAGGGACTTTTATCTTTGCTAAAAAAGCAGGAAGTCAGTGAAAGAATCACTATTTTATCTCTACGCTACTTGACATTTTGTACAAAAAGTTATTGCTTTAAGATTTAAAAAAAAAACAAAAAAAAAAAAAAAAAAAAAAAAAACACACACACACACGCACCCATGCTGAATGAGGTATGAACATGAAAACACGTAATTAACTGAACAGTACACATGTCATGTGGCAGACAGAGTTCACCTTTCAGGAGTTAACGTAATCTGAACAATGACAGTTAGCTTATTAGAAATGCATGCACCACTTCCACAGGCAAGGTTCATACATAGAAAAACAGCAACATACATCATAAAGTTTGGACAGAGATGTCTGCTGGGAAATCATAATATTCTTAAAAAGGGGAAACAACCTTTGTCTATTTTTTTTTTCCCCCCAGGAGATTTTTTGGAAAGCCTCATCCATCTGAATAATGGCTAAACAACTACATTGGCTGCCATAATGACATCACTGTTCTTATGCAAGAAGGCAGGCTCTTTATTGGAAGTAGTCTTTCAAGCTACTTTTGGACAGTTTGGTAAGCATAGATGGCTTGTCCCTTCACCTACAATGGCTATTGGATGTTAGCAAATGGCAGATTGGTCACTGCTTTTTATGTGTATATATTTTTATATTATTAGGGGGAAGTATGCAGAATGTTTATGTAGAACAACCGTGCAGGGGTTGGGATTTTGCTCTCCCCCTTTTCTTAGACGGTGGTAGGTATTTATGGAAATCATAGTTGTCTTAGTGGGAGATTTGTATACTGCACAATGTGGTTGTGCCAGTATTCTTATAGTCCCCTTTGATTTTTATCATAGATAAGGCAGCTGGGCATAGCCTCTAGCCCATTGGAATTCATGATATCTTTGCTACAGAACGAGGAACACTCTAGTTCAGGCCTTGAAATTTCCACTCGCCTGCTCGCCAATGGCAAGTGGAAATTATGGTGGGGGCAGTCTTGCTAAGCAGGCTTGGAGCTCAGGCCGGATCTGTCATTGGCACTGGGAGCCGTCAGACTGCTCAATAACTGAGCGCAGTGAAAGCAAAGCAAGGAGTGTGTGCTGTGCTCTCTGCTTCTGTCAGGGAGCGAGGAGCCAGACACACAAGGAGGTCAATTAAAAGGTAGGTTTATTAATATAAAAATAAGACAAGAGTCTATGCAAGTCCAACAGTGGAAATCGTAGCCAAAGCCGGGGTCAAGAGCCAGGAAGAATGGTCGCCAGAGCCGGGGTCAGGAGCCAGGAAGAATGGTCGCCAGAGCCGGGGTCAGGAGCCAGGAGGAGTCTTAGCCAAAGCCGAGTCGGTATCCAGGAAAGCAATGAGTAGCTAAACAGGAGCTTGCTGTTGTGCAACAGACAGGACACAAATGCAATGGACAGCCACAAACAGCAGACTTATATGTGATAAGCCGCCACCTCCTGGGGTGGGCTGAAAGCATAAAGGATCCCACAATGCTTTGCAGACACCTAAGATGGATGCCAGCACATGGCGCAGCACAAGGTCTGAGGAAAGGTAGGACCTTGACAGCCTCCCCCTAGAGTGTAGTACCCAGCTCTGTGAGTGAACAACAAAGTACTGCAACTTTTTATAGGGGTGTGTGTGTGTATGCATGTACCTGTCTGCATGTATGTACATGTATGTGTGTGTATACATATCTGTGTGTTCATGTGTGTGCGCGTGTACTTGTGTATGTACTTACATGTGTCTGTATGTACGTACGTACATGTGTCTGTATATGCATGTACGTACATGTGTGTGCGTGTATTTCTGTGTATGTTCATGTATCTGTGTGTATCATGTGTGTGCATGTGTGTGTACACGTGTCTCTGTGCGTGTGTACATGTTTCTGTGTGTGTGTATGCACGTCTGTGTGTTAGTACAGGTGTCGTTTGTGTTTGTTGGTGGCGAGTAACTCTTAAGGCCTGGCTAGTAGCTCAAATGGTCAGCACTTTTTATACATTGATTTGGGTATTAATTCTCTGGCCCTCTGCAAAAGTTTTGTTTCCAATCTGTACCATATTATTTATGATGATTATAGAAGATATGAGGGTAGTTTGACTTTCCTTCTCTGCCGTTAGTACCATGAGATAGATATTGGACCACTTTTGCCTCTCTGTGGTTTACACCAAGGTAGTGAATTAAATCTCACCAAGGTCTGGGCAGTAAAAGTTGCATGCATCAGTGGTCCGAATCTCATGTAGGCCCCTGTGGTGCATTTTTTTGTGTGCACCAAACCACATGATGCTGCGGTGCGATCTTGGAAAGGGTTGGGGGCTTCTTCAGGTTTCTAGCAGGTAGTGCTGACCTACCCACAACGTGTGCATCAAATGCACATGTACAGATCTGTACCTGTTCTAACATCAGTGTCCTCAATCCCCACTGCATATAACTGGATGGAGGTCAGACCCCCCCCCATATGTTACTGTCCCCAGCCCCCTCCCATGTTACTGTCTTTAGCGCCCCCCCCCCCCCCCATTACAGTTTTCAGCCCCTGCCACTTTAATGTCCTCAAACCCCACACAGCACAGTCCTTAGCCCCCATTACTTCTCTCAGCCCCGCCCTTCACACTAATGTCCTTAGCCCCTTTAACTTCACCCCTCACTGTCCTACCTTACACAGACAGCGATTGACAAAAGTGATTGATTGCTAGGACTGCCATTCATCATAGCAACCAATCACCCGCTTGTAAACCTTGGGTAGCTCCCACCTTCCATCCAGAACTGTCCTGCCTCCTGCTGTCAGCTTTGTGAGGGTGACCGCAAGACAGCTGGGGGAAGAAAAGGCTCTTAAAATGGCAGGACTGCATTGGTACGGATGGGACAGGGACTCTGTCCACATCCAGACCCCGTTCTGCTATTTAGTGATGCTGGGTTTACACCATTGAATTTCGTATTATGCAGTCCCATCTTGGATATCAGTATTTTTAGGACTGCTCTAATCAACATTAACCATTTAAATTTCCTTGTAAGTATGTATATAAAAAACTGTTGATGATTCTATATAGAAATTATTAATCTCAAATGTTTTATTCAGAGATCCTTTTTGTACTCATGCTCCCTGAAGAAGATCTTAAAATTATCGAAATGTGTCGGTTATTTTGGGAATGTTGTATTGCTGCAACTTAAAAAGGAATACATCCCTGGAATAGTTATCAGAGCCAGTGTGCGTTTTTTTAAATGTAATGCATCTTTTATCAATATTTTTGTACAATAAAGTGTATGACCAAAAAGAATTCCTTATGAGTACATGTGTGATGATACGTTTGCTGCATTAAAGTCCCATAGGGGGTCATTTTTGTTTGTATTTATGTTGGGGACAGACAGCTAGATACTTGATTTTTCCTTAATATTGCTCTGTATTTGGCTCCATCCATGTTCCCATGCACAAAGTTTCAGGAAACTAACTTAAAGATTCTCACTAGAAGGTATCATACCCCTGCCCTTTTGCATAAACCTTTCCCCCCCCCACTACTACTGATAAATGTTGGCAATGTCAAAAGGGAACAAGGAACATTATTGCAGATCTTCTGGTCATGTCCCAAAATGATTGGTTTCTGTGAAGAGGTCCGTAGGTGGACTCAAACAAAAAAAAAAAAAAAAAAAAAAAGTATATGTACTGATTAAGTAGTGCCTGGATGATATGGCTTTTTTCCTTCTGCATCCTTCCACCATACCTGCCAAAGTATACAAAGTCTAAACCCTGACATCTTCTTAACGCTACTAAATCTTGCATTTATCTCACACGGAAAAAGTACACAACCTCTGTCCATCAGATTATGGCTCATGAAAGTGGAGGATTTAAATCAAATGGAGGACTTGATCCTGACTCCACAACACAAGTAAAGCCCTTTGTGAACTGGGCCCTACTGAGAAGCCATCGCCATCCCTCCTTCGGATCGAACCCCCCCCCCCCCCCCCCCACGACCACCACTTTTTTTTCTCTCTCTCCCCCCATTATCCCTCTCCCTTCATCTCCTCTTTGCTCCTTTACTTGCTCGGTCTATTATATCCTGCCACTTGGATTTATGTGTTAAAAACTTGTTAGGGCAGTACCCTCTATCCCCACTGGGGAGTATTGGTTAGATATTTCTGGGATGCAGGGTTACATTATCCCAGGTTGCACATAATGTTCCTCACTGGTGAGGTCTTTGTTCAATGCACTTTTATTGCTTTCCTTTCCAGTATTGGACTTCTAGATGTGAATAATTGACCTGACTGTTCTTATTGGATGTTTCTCGTACTCAGTCATTAGACTGAACCCTGCCTTAGCATCCAGAATTTTTATATACGTTGGATACTGGCATATGTTAATAAAATTAGAAAAAAAAAAAAAAACAAAAAAAAAAACTGCACGCTTATGTGGACTGTAATTGTGTTACACTAGAAAATCATATTTCTTTGTTCCTAAATTTATCTCTAGTTATAACAAACTTATGAGCAATAAGCATATAAGATCTTTACCTCAATAATTTTTTCTCGCTCCATCCCTTCCTCCACCACGCAGATCCTGGCACGCCCATGTCTCTCGTTATCTCGAATATCTTTGGCGACAGATGTGGCTTTCAACTTCTCAAACCTGTTGGACTTGGAACCGCACCACTGATAGATCTCCTGCAATTATCAAAAATTTGATTTGTTTCTGTGTCCTGTGTGGACACAACCCCATCATTGAAGAGAATACAGATCTGACAGTTTTAAAAACTCACCAAAGAGGTGCTTACAAACTATTTGTGTATAATAGTGCAAAGAAAGAAGAGTGCTGTGAGAGAGAAGTCAAACATTATAGAATAACAAATGCCATCATAGAAATCAAAAAACACACAAGGACAGCATTCCAAGGTGAAAGCCATGGATGAAAGAGGTGGGACAATATACACTGCAATGAGGATGGGCAGATGTTATCCACATAGATGTCGCAGTATTTATGGAAAATAAGAGAAGTTAACTGTGACAACTGTTGTTTCCTGAGGTTGTGTGTTAAGTGCATAATTACGATGTGGCACACCTATCATTAGATCACTCTGATACAGAGAAGAAACACACTTACATCACCCAGATCCAGGATGAAGCAATCTCCCTGATTAAAGCTGGACCAGGACACTGGAACCTCTGTGGCCCGGGCAAAACGGCGGCCTTTCACCTGGAGAAGGCGCTGCACGGCCACATCATTGGGAACAACATGTGTGAATCCAGAAGCCACTCCGCCAGCCTTTGAAAAAAATAGAGATTACAATGTCACACATTAAAAAGGGAACTGGTCACAAACCAAAATACCTAAATTATTTATTTCAGGTACTTATATAGCGCCGTCAATTTACGCATATATATTGTACATTCACATCAGTCCCTAACCCTCAAGGGGTGTACAATCTAAGATCCTAAAAAATTACATACATATACTAGGGACAATTTAGACAGGATCCAATTAACCTTAACCCAGGTGGAAACTGCAAATTCTGATTTCCAGGCCCCATACGAACAGCAGGGTCACAAGGCTGTACGGTCAGTTTCAATACAATCTGCCCTAAAAATGGGATGCAGCCCAGGATTTAGAGAAAAGCCTTCATCTTTAACTTGTCTGTTTGCTCTATGCACTCTTACAAAACCCAAATTATCACAAAAACACTGCTACATGTACCAGGTAAAATCTGACCAGCCTTTGGTAATAACTGGTTTGGCCTTGCAACTAAATTCCATGTTTTTACCAAATCAAAGTATTTTAGCTATCTAAGCATACATATGGCTTGTTTGGATCCTGGCACTTATACACAATAAGGGGAAAAAGTAACTGCAAAATTAGGGGGTGCCTGGTAGCTGCTGTATTTTCTATCCTGACCAGTTTCTTGTGACATGCAGCACCAAGTATATGTAAACCCTCACCTTGTAAAACAACTTATGATCCATTTAAAACAAAATGAAAAGGCAAAAATATTTTGGCGTATAGATATAAAAAAACACAACATTACAAAACACTTTTCTTCTGGTTTTAAAAGTGATCACTACCCTCTAAGCTCCTGATGCAGTTGAGAGCAGAGAGTCGGGCAGGAAAAACAGCAGAGCACTGAAATCCCAACGAATGGCTGTGCATGGAAGGGGGGGGGGGGGGGGTGTCAGCAGAAGCCCTGAGAGAAAAGCACAGCCTAAAAACCAACCATGCTGTGCTCTCATGTAGTCCGTTTTGAATAAAAAAAGCAGAGGGACCGACAGGGGCACCAGGGATTTTACACAAAACAGAAGCAATACAAAAGAACAGGATACATGTCATACCAATACATGGTACAGCAGGCACATATCAGTAATATGAAATGTTGGGTTTGTATATACTTTAAGTTTTTAGTGATGCCAGATTTAAAGTATCCCAAGAAAGTGTGGGACTCAAAACCTTGGACTTCTCGATTCTGGATGGGTTTACCACCCAGGTGATCGTCCATCTGGACGGTGAATATATAGCAGCTGATCCACTTTCATCCTGAGTGCACTCATTGCCCCCAAAAGAAGTGGGACTTTAGTGCAACTCAGAGCAGACAATGCTTGTCAGAAGCACTATGACTGACCCCATACTTTGCTCATACAAAGAATAACAACGGTTTACAGGTTATCAAAATGAAGAAATAGCAGGATTTGCTGCCCCTGGAGAAAAAGACATTAGTCAACACAAAGCAAACCTCCTGTGCTGTACTGGCACCCTTGGTTTAACACAGGGGTGTCCAAACTTTTTTCAAAGAGGGCCAGATTGGATGAAGTGAACATGGTGGAGGGCCGAACATTTTTCCGAACATTCTTTGAACCATTACAATTAAATGCAAATAAATTATTTTATGCCAAGTTAATTGCAAACAACATACTTTTCATTTCATAACATTAAGATCAACTGACAGCTGAGTTTTCACAATGTATTGAAAATAAATTTAAAAAAAAAAAAAAAAAAAAAAAAAAAAAAAAAAAAAAAAACTTACCTGCACTAATGTGAAGGGTGAAAAATGGAGCTGAAGTCTCTGCTGGGCAGCCGGGAGGGGAAGAGAAAACACACTTCACGCTGGAAGCCCAGCCCTGACATCACCGCCCTCTGTCGCTCCCAGTGTGGCGCAGTCACGCATGCGCACTGCTCTCAAGCAGAAGACTGTCTGCCACAGAGGGGAGGGCCATGCAACAGCCGCATTTACACAGACCAGGGAGAACGCGCCGCAGTCAGGCATGCGCACTGCCCTCTGCTCTCAAGCAGAAGACTGTCTGCCATAGAAGGGAGGGCCACATTACACAGAGCAGGGAGGGCTGTTGGAGGGCCGTATTAAACTGACCCCCGGGCCGTAAATGGCCCGCGGGCCGGACTTTGGACATGCCTGGTTTAACATGACTGATAGCAGAGGTGCATTTTTCATAAAGAAAGTAAATAAAATGCCAAACAGCTGACCACTTTCAGTGTTATGGAAAGGCGTACAGAAACATTTGTGAATATGAGTGGCTGGGGTACACATATTTTGGAAGTCCCATTTTGTACAGGGCAAACAAAGCAGATTGTGATTTTGTCTGGGCACAGACACTGGCATCTGTGCTGGCTTATCTGAACAGCAGGGAGTGAGAAGATTTGGAATATCCCCAATAAGACAGAAGGATGATAACTCAGCAGAACCAGAAGAACTTATCCCAACTTCCTCCAGCAGCCAAACTCCATCAGGATTACCGAGGAATCTGGACAGCTAGAATCTACCAACCACAATGAAATATATACCTGCTTACTATACTGGCTAAGCGATAAGAGCTGAAACCTTTCCTCTTACTTGATATCTGGGTTAAAAGGCTACACATTTTCAAACTGTTTAAATCTAATTTTATATTTATTTTACAAACAAACAAACAATTAATGTGACATAGGATTCCCAGAGCACTAAAAGAGACAGCATACCAAGTGGTCTAAAGTTTAAATTGAGCAACTGAGCGCTGTAAAAATTGACTTTTTTCAAATTCAGTATGGAAAAAAAAAAAAAAAAAAAAAAAACACGTAACCCAGGCCTGCTAGTCTAATGACATGATGGCTTTGTATGCACCACCTCATTTTCAGTTCAAATTTCAGGTATCATGGGTTTCTCCTGGTATACATTCTTAACCCCTGCATGCTATCTGTTCTTGGCACAATCCAATGCTCGGCTGTCCACCCCATACCAGCCATCCACTATGGACCAAATGATGCCTCAGAGCAGGAAGTATGGGAAAAGGTTCATAATGATAAGCAAAAACAGTAATAAAATCTCAGGAGATTTGGGGATTAAACCATAAAAAACAAAAACAAAAAAAAACACACAAAACACACACACACACACACACACACACGAGTCTGCCAACTGCCCAAGAGTTTCTGCCCTTTATACTGGTCAAAAAACAGCACACATTTCCACATCAGGCTGTTCAAGGAGGAGTTTTGCTCACCCAGCCAGTAGTGCAGGTCATACTGCAGGTTCCCTGTCCGCTGCTTTATGGTGTTCAGGACAATGTAGGCGTCTCCAGTGAAAAAGGATCCATACTGGTTTTGTGGGACAGCCACAAGGTCAAACTTTTCAATCCTCCAGACTTGGAGACCTGGTGCTTTCCCAGCCTTCTCAAACTCAGGGTGATCCACCACCATTTCTGCTGACTGGAGAGAAACAAAAATACAGGACCAAGAGATATTAATAAGGGAAGCAAACATTTTTAACCATCAACATTCATGGCCAATCCCATCAAGAATTATAAAATTCTGGAGCTGGGAAGACTACAGTCAACCATTCCATAAAGGAATACTCTACCTTCAGATGACTATCATCTACTATCCTGTAAACACCCCATACTATTTGTATGAAAGCCACTGATTTTTATGGGCTCTCTCTCTCTCCCCCACCCCCATCTCATTGTTCTCATTACACACAGTTTCATTGCTCTGGAAAGTTTCTGTCCAAACACAGCTTTGCTTCACATAGGCAGATGTTTTTCCTGTGCAAGGACTATCTTCCCCAAGTCACAGACAAACATTACTTTCCCAGGACAGCATAAACACCTTTGCTGATGAACAATAAGAAATGGCTGGAAAGCACAGACGGGAGGAAGAAAATGGCAACAACATTCCAAGTATTGGAATAGAATGTTATTTTTTATGCATTGCAAATCTACACAAGTTGCTTGATTCTGCATCACACTGCAATGACGTGGTGGAAATTACTGCAATTTACTTCGTTTGAAGAGAACTTACAAAACACGACCTTAGAAGAGAACTTTGGGCAAAACTTCTTTTTCCCCTTCATTTTGGATAGCATAAAAAAAAAAAGGAGGGTTATAACCTGTCAGTTTATTTTTTGCCATCTGTGTCCCATTGAGGAGATTTACGTTTACTTCCTGTTCCATAGCCAATACAGGAAGTGAGAAAATCTCTGGAAATTAAGGGAATTCCTTGGGGAACCCCAGGTCACTAGAACTAGTGTCCCCATTGGAAAATGTCACCTCTATTACTTTTCTGGGGACAACCCAAAATGTGGAGTTTTTTTTTTTTAACTTTCACCCTCTCTATTTGTCCTTTTTGACCATTATCATTGAAAGTGAATCTCCAACAGGTGCACAGAAAACAATAAAAACTGACAGGCATTCTAACCCTTCTCCACTATCCAAAACTAAAATAAAAAAAAAAAAAAAAAAAAGTTACTTACCAGGTAATGCCTTTTTACAGAAGTCTTTCAGGACAGCACCCTTTCAAAGACCTTGGCTCCGCCCTACCTATGGAACCACCACCTATACCCAGTTTAAAAGTGGCCTCTCTATTAGGACCTCAGTTCATGGTTTAGCACCTCCAGTCACCTGGGAAGACAAAAAAAAACAAAAAAAAAACACACACAATCAATAAAGGGGTGGGTAACTGGCGCTGTCCTGAAAGACTCCTGGAGAAGGCGTTACTGGTAAGTGTAACTTTGCTCTTCTCCCCACCATCTTTCAGGACAGCACCCTTGATGGGATAGGCAAGCACTTACCCCTAGGACAGGACCACAGTTTGCAAGACCTCGAGTCTGAAGGCCTGCTCTTTTCCCAAAACCAGTCAAGTCTGTAATGCTTAACAAAAAGGTGTTGTAATTGGACTAGGTAGCTGCTTTGCATATCTGTTCCGGAGTTGCACCAACCAGCTCAGCGTACGTAGCCGCCATTGCCTGGATGGAGTGAGCCCCAATGCCTTCTAGACCTTCGGCCAGATATACCTGTCTAATTGCCAGTCTCAGCCTCCTAGCCAAGGTGCGCCTAGAAGCCTTACAGCCCTTTCTCACCCCTGCAAATAATACAAAAATGGAATCTAACTTCCTGACATCTTCAGTCTCTAGGCCAGTAATGGCGAACGTTTTTTAGAGACAGTGCCCAAACTGCAACTCAAAACCCACTTAATTTCTCACAAAGTGCCAACACTGCAACAAACCTGGAGGTTTTAGTTTAGAACACACACACCTTCCACTGACACACCAGCACACGACACACACACACACACACACACTCCTTGGCAGAGCACCGACCGGCCATGCGAAAGCTCAGATGAGTCACGGATAAGGAGTTGTGGCTTGCGACAGCATCGTTTGGTGCCGCTACTCCTTTCCAAGGATGCACATGCTGTATGCGGTTGCTGTTGTATGTATGCTGTTATCCAATGTTTGGCTGCTGGGGTGACTTAACTCGTGTGCTGACAGACTGCCATAGGTTCTCCATCACTGCTCTAGACGGTACCCCCTCCTAACTATGCCTAGGATAGGTGGACACCGCTTCCCACTGTGGGAGAAAGACCCCCAATCTTCCTCCCACTTGGGGAACACAGTCATTGAGGCTTTTGGTGCTGCTCAGAAGGACGGCAAATCGCTCCTCCCCTGCCCCTTCCCTTCTGCCCCTAGGGTAAGGTTGTACCTGCTTTTGGGGATGAAATCTTTTCCTCCCCTGCGCCTGGGTTTTTTCTCTTAAGGGGAAAGGCCTTTTTCTTGTCAGCGGTACGGTCCAACACCATTTCAAGACCAGGCCCAAAAAGAATATCCCCTGTGAGAGTGGGATGCCACAAAGCTGAACTTTGGCAGCATCCCCCTGCCAGGTCTTAAGCCATAGGGCTCTGCCAGACGAGTTAGTCAAGGCCGCCAACCTTGCTGTCATCCTCACTGACTCTGCAGAGGTGTCTGCATTGTAACCAACCCCCTTCAATAATGTAGGAAAAGTGGCTAGAATATTTTCCTTCAGGCAACCATATGGATCTGTAGCTGCGCGAGCCAGTATTCCATGTTCCAAGCTACCACTGTAGTGGCCGTAGCAGGCTTTAAGTTGGATGGTGTGGAATCCCAGGACTTTTTAAGAAGAGAATCCGCCCTCTTGTCCAAGGTGTCAGGAAAAAAAAACCCATATCCTTGAAAGGCTACCTAGGAGAATGCCACATCAAGCTTAGGACTCTTATTCAACACTGAGGTCGGATCCCAGTCAAAGTGAAACCTGCTTTTAAGGGATTTAGCAAAGAACTTAATTTTCTCTACAGGTCCTGCCACTCCTTTATGGATTCTACAAGAACCTTGTGAACTGGGAAGACTCTACGTTTTTTGTTCCTCTATACCCTTATACATCTGATCATACAACATGAGGGGCTTCATATCTTTCTTAATCACCAAAAGGTGGTATAAATGACCCCCAGCAAGTCAAGAATCAAAAAAGGTGGTCGTCAACTCCTTAACCGACTTAACCAGGTCCCCCTGGGAAGGAGCTTCCTCCTTAATAAGGCCCTCTATACCAGACCCGCATAGCACCTTAGTCCAGGGGTCTCCAAGTGTCACCCTGCACGAGGGGCACTTAATTTTATCCCCGTGGTGTGGTTTGGGCTTCTCTCTAGCTTTCACCTAGAACAGAACAAACAGCCGCCCATTACATTGATTCCCAGGCTCCCCCACCACCACCTTTAGTGCAGAGTTTGGCAGTGTGTGGGAATCTCCTAGGCTGTGACCCCCCCCCCCCCCCGTCACTCCAGCCACCAGGACGACACCCCTTGGATCTAGAGGCCTAACAGGTAGGGTAAGAGGCTCCTCTGAGCCACCTACCTGAGACTTATGGGTGCTGGCGTCCCGTGGTCCCGGTGCTTGTGCTCCAAAACATGTCCTGATGTGGTGGTCCGCCCTGGGGTCCTTGTGGCCTGCCTCTGCAGGATGCAGCTCCCCTCATAAGCCTGAACTCTGGTCCACTGATCACAGCACCGCGGCCACCAGGATAAAGCCAGAAGCGACGTCCCCCATCATCCGGCCTGGCGAAAGCTCCACCGCTGGCATCTAATCTAGAGGCCCCCCCTGGATCGGTGAACAGCAGACACCCGCAACCCTTCTCCTCCCCAGGTGGCGGTCATGTCGGAGAAAAAGGAGGTAAGGGACCCCCATCCCCAGGAGGACTGGACCAGGTCCCTACCTCCCCATTTGGAGGGGGGGGGGGGTGCGGGGGAAGGACGCAGACCACACCCAGTCCCCGGGTGGGCTTCCAATTCGTGTCTTTCCACCGGAGGAAACATCAGTGAGGTCCTAATAGGCAGGCCGCTTTTTAAACTGGGTGGAGGTGGTGTTTCCTCAGGGGTGGAGGAACCGAGGTCTCACAACGGTGCTGTCCTAAAAGACAGTGCGGGGTTGAGGGAGGCGGTAACGTTACACTTTTTTAAAATTTCTAGTACAGAAGGTTTAAGTGATCTACCCATTTGTCTTTCTAGAGCTTCCCAGTGCTGTACAGTCCCCAGACATAATGCACTCTGTAATCTATGTACACAGAAGCCCTTGTTGGTGTGGAAAAAAAGATATTACTTCATAAACATCCGGTCACAGTGATAAAGGAGGGTTTTTTTTGCAAGTTGGTGTCATCTTTGCTTTGTGATAAACAGTAGCAGCCAAACAGACAACTGACAATCTACTGACAGCCATTTCCAGCACAGCAGGAAATAAATGCCCCATCTTCAGCTTCCTCCAATCATAGCATTTCTTTGTGCCGTTGTCATCCCCCCTACAATCCAGTAATCTTCTTGGGAGGCAGACATTTTGTCTTTTTGTGATGTGTTATAATGGTACATACAGTATGTTTTGTTTTCAGTACCATGTAGAGCACACTTTTGAGAGTGTAAAAAATTTTAAGCAGAGATCATGAAGTGCTATTAGGCTCCATTCACACAGCACTGCCATCCAGAGCAGTGTGCTTACAGTGAAACATTATCCTAGTCAAAGCTGAGCATTTCATTTGTACAAGTGCCCCTTACCTACATAGGGAACTGTTGGATAAAGTGAAACTAACCCTTCTAGGTTCCGATTTTCCCCACCATCACAGCTAATCCCTGTTAACTGCCACCCCCTGTCAGAGAATGTCTGGTTGCAGCAACAGCAAAACTAGATTGTAGCGAAACCCAAGTTTAATAGGAAATATAGGTTGAAATTATTTTCTCTGCAGGGAAGCACTAATGACACTTTGGTTGACAGATGGAACCATTGCATGACACCCCCCAGAAGTAATGAATGTCGAAGATTCTGCTGTCCTGCAGACAGAGGAATTATTCAGTAGTACCGGTACATAGGATGCATGCATCCTGACAACAGTATCCCTGGCTCACACTAATGCAGTGTGGGAAAAGCA